GACTGTTTGTAAAAGTGCGTGAGATTAATGAGCAAAGGCTTCTCCATAACACAGAAGGCATGAAATCAATCCCGCGCTCTGAGAATAATGAGGGAATCAATAGGATTACGAGGTTAAGGCTGGAGTAAACCTGAATGACAGCTGCAAAATAAATTTTATTTGGAGGACGTGGCTGGGGTTAAATGAAACATAATAAATAATGTAAAGCATTTAAGGGGTGGGGAAATGGTCCAGAGATGTAAGGAAGAACAGAAGGCCCCACAGTCGCTAAATCTGTCCAGTTCATATCCACGGCGTGTTTTCTCAGGCATGTGATGAGGGTGACGCGCGCCGTGCCTGCGGGAGTGGCACTGCGGGGTTGTGCCCTCTCCCCTCGCTGTGTGGGACAGGGATGGGAGCGGGACGGTGGCAGCGGTGCCGCTGGGAGCTCGGCCTGCAGCTGCAGCACCGGAACAGGACAGCGATGCGCATGTGTGAGCGGCGTAACGCAGCCTGGGATGTGTCCAGGCTGCGTCGCATATGAGCTGCACGTTTGTGCATCCCTTTCGCCCTGTGCTTCTCTCCTGGGGTCTGACTGAAAAAAAATCCGATGTTGCTGCCATCCCTTTCCCACTGGTTATAGAGCTCCTGGAGACCTGCCGCTGGGCATGGAGACCTCCCTCTGCAGAGACCACAGCTGCACCCGGGGCTCACGCGTACCCCCACGGGCGCATCCACTGTGCTTGCGGGGACGTGGACCCTTTGGGCAGCGTGCACCTGGGGCCGCTCCACCTTTGCACCCATGGTGGGCATGTCCCGCTCTGCTCTGTGCTCCTCCAGGCACGGGGTGACAGGGAGCCATGGGGCTGTGGCTGGAGGGGTTCGGCGTCCTGCTGACCTTGGCTTTGAGGGTAAAGGCTGTGCAGGTGGGTGTAGGGCTGGGCTTTTGGGTGCTCGGCACCTTCTCCTCTGTGGCTTTGGTTAGGATGTTTGTGGAAGAGCTTGGCATCGAGTCTGCTGCTCTCCAAGAGCTCAGTGACTTCTAACGCCTCAGTGAAAACTGAGCTGCTCTGAAGAAGTGGCCCTAGGGGTGGGTGCCAAACCGGGCTGAACCCTGACGCTGTACCAGTTGCACTGATTTTTCTAACGTGATTAACTCCTGGCCCTGCTCCTCCCTCCTAGGCGTTCTCGGGGAAGGAGCTCTGGAGTTCCCAGGATGTGCTCGATGCTTCAGAGGCAGAGCCCAGCCCAGAGAGACGTCGGCCGCTTCTGCTCCCAAGGAAACACATTTCCCGCTCCAAGTGGGGATGAGACAGCAGAGATTTTGCTCTTGAATCTCCGTGTAAGAAGCCTCCTGCTTCCTTCTGGAGCCAGTCCCAAGCGAGCCCGCAGACCACCGCTTGCCCCGGATGCTTTTCCGTCAGGTTACCCTGCGCCGCGAGGGCTTGTCCTCCCGGAGCAGACCGTGCGTGTGCGGCTCAACCCTGCTAATAAAGGCTGCATGTGTTTTTCCAGTCATTAAGTGTATGACTAATAGAGCTGTCCTGGCTGCATAATGCACGCTGACAACGAGGAGCCTCAGGGGAGGGGAACAGAAACAGAGGAGTAAGAAAAAAAATGGCTTAAATTTATCCCCCGCCCAGTGAATGTGTTTTTGCTGTGGGTGTTACGTCCCCGCCATGCTGGGGTGGGGAGCCGAGAGTTGCCTCCTGCTGCCCTTCCCCTTGAAGCTGCCTGCAGCTCTGTGTGTCCGTCTGTCCGTCCCAGGCCATTTGCTGCAGCACAGTGGCACTCTGTGCTGTGATCTGCCCCTGTGCCGGGGATGCCGTGGGCTCGTCCCCATGGGTGATGCCATCCTGGCCCCGCCGTGTGTTCACTTCGGCCCCGGTGTCACCAGCACGGGCTGTTAGTGGCAACGCTGGCTGTCGGTAGTTTATCCCACCGCCACGTGCTGAGGAAGGGTTTGCAAACCTCTGCGTGCACAGGCAGGTCCCTGCTGCCCGTGCATCGCTGTGTGCCCCTGCACGTGCAAGCCTGGTCCAGGGCAGCACCTCCCCACCGGGGTCCTGCAGACCCACCTGCCTCCCACATGAGACCTCTCTGCAACAGGATGCAGAAAAATGCCTTTAAGTTTCCTTTTAATAGCTCCTGTAAATCTTATTTTATGCTACAGCCAAAGACACGTTTATTATTGTCATAAAGGAGGAAGAACTGGTGAGTCCCCAGCTGGCCCCAGACCTGGTGACTCGGGAAGAGCAGAGCAGCAGGTCGAGGGCCACGGTTATCCCTCGCCATTTGGCACATTTGGGGGCTCATCAGTGACACCAGGTGAAAACCTCCAGCTGCTCGTGGGGCACAGTCCCCCATGCCTGGAGTGGGCTTGAGGAGCTGAGGGGCTCTGGGTGCAGCACCGGGAGCTGTGGGTCAGGGCTCCGGGACTGGGCTGGGGATGCCCATCTCCAAGTGCCCGGGCACTGGTTTTGCTCCAGCACCTTCTGTGCTATAGGAAGCCATGCAGGTTGATTTTTTTTTTTAATGATTTTATTTAATATTTTTAAACAATTGCACAGGCAATCTCTATCCCAAATCCCAGCCCAGAGGTCAGCTGAGAATTGGCCCTGCACCTGCAACCTGAAACCAGCACTGCCTGGCTGGCGAGCCTCACGCTGCGCCGCTAATTAAGGGTTGGGGGGGGTTGTTTTTCTTTTCTATTTTATTTTGAGACGCTGTTTTGAAGAGCGTGGCCAAGAATGGGGATTTCATACGATAAACAGAAAAGCTGTTCTGAAGTTATTTATTGGTTCTGTTTTCCAGCACGTGGACTAGTATTGATTTATTTTGCAGTGTCTCTAGAGGCTTCTTCAAGGTTAAAATGTAGACATCGCATGTTAGGCTGGACTAAATGCTGGCAGGAAAACACATTTGGCTCTTTTAATTGGAAAAACATACTCCTTTTATCACCCTGAGGCCAAGACTCTACCACAGCAGCACAGGGAGGGCAGAGGAACGTGTGCAAGCGGGAGATGCTCTGGTTCATGCCTGCTTGGGGGATTCGGTGGGAGCACAGAGACCTCCACAACTGCAGCCAGCTCTGGGGTCCCACTGGGCCCCGCGGTTCCCTGGGGTCTGTGGGGGCTGGCGGCCATCCTGGGTCGGGAGCTTTGGTCTGAGCCTCCTGCTAAAGAAACCTGGGCTGAGCTTAGGAGTTGTCATGGCCAAGCTTGGTGCCGGCTCCATTTTTGCCGCTGTGAGCTCATCCCAGTCACCTCTGAGGAGGGGGACTGGGCTCCCGCAGCCCAGCGGGGATGGCTCGGTGCTGATCCCCAGCAGCCGATGGCAGAGGGTCATCCCAAGCAGAGATGCTGTGCGTTGAGGGCAGGAGAGACCCACACGTGCCCACCTTAAATCCCACTACCCTGTTTTCAGTCCATACAGTTGCAATTATTCATCTGGAGAAGATGATGGGAAGAGAGTTCTTCATCCCCAAGAAGAACTTGACAGCCCCTTACATCCTCAAAGTGCTTTCCAGCCCCTGTGCTGGTTGTGCTCCTTTCTTTGGCAGGTGAAGGGACTTGCCCCGGGCCATCGAAGGAGGCAGTGTCAGAGACAGGATGGCTGCTGCTGCCGCTGGTTCTCCGTCCCTCCCGAGCCGGTGGTGAGCGCGTGCGGCCGGGGCGGAGGTGAGGAGCTCTGCTGAGAAGGTACGAGCTGAGGTTTAGAAATCATGATGTGTGAATTGAAATGGGAAGCAACGGATCTCGGGAATCACCGCAACTGCTACAAGGTGTTCCTGAAGCTGTCAGCAAGCCATCTGCCCGCTCGCCCTAGGTAAACACCGCGCCGCGGCCGCCGCGGCCAGCCCTCCTTGGAAAGCTGCG